GGGGCGGCAGGAAGAGGAGCCGGGCATCCCAGCCGGCCGTGTACAGGCTGTGGGGACACTGGGAGAGAAGCGCATGCAACATGGCACCAGTGACATGGGACAGGTGGCAGCTGCCCAGGCGGTGCAGCAGGAAGCTTCTCCTTGTGTCTAGGGGGGTAAAGAGGGCTCAGCCTGGCCCTGCATGCCAGCAGCTGGGGGGGCCACATGGGGACATACTCACAGGTCTCCAGGTAACTGTGGCCATAGGCTGCCTGTGTCTCCGCTGTGAGCCATTCCCAGAGGTGCTCCAAGCCCTTCACCACCACCATGGGGTTGGTCAAGCCCATCCGGAAGCCACCTGGTTCGATAATGGAGACTCTCACCCCAAAGGGATGCATCTTGTGCCCGGCAAGGCAGCAGCCATCAGCCCCGTGGCTGCAGCCGCCATCCTGGGCAGGGGCTGGGGGGACTAAGCCATGTAGGGATCCCCCTGGGCACACAGTCATCCTCCAGGCATGTGCAAGAGAGTGTCCCCTTGCCCAAGAGCTTCTTGAAACCCTTCCTCTTGTTGCACAACTGCTGCTCCAGCTGTGCCTCAGTTTCCCAGCCTGAAGGTGTTGGTGTTTCACAAGCCCCTGCCTGGACTCACTGCTCCTCTACAAGAAGGTTTGCAAGGGTAGTGGGTTGCAGCATGAAACATTGCATGGGAATATGGGGCACAGCCACCTGCACGGTTGCTCCCAGCTGCAGGATGAGCACCACCACTGCCATACCTGAGGGAGTCACATCCTCAGCACAGCTCTTGGTGTGCCTGGGGTCCTGCCCTTTATAGAGCTCTGGAGCAGAAGAGCAGCCCCAACCAGGTATTGGGAGGAGCTGAGCAAGATTACAGCAGCATCTGCAGAAAGTTTTGCATCTCAACTCTACAGATCCATGTGCCTGGAGCTCTGCCTCAGCCTGTAGTGGCTGTTTGTGTTGGCAGGGTGGGTCCAGCTGCCCCACAAGCTGGATTTGGCTGAGCTCTGCAGGCATGGTTGGCAGCACAGCCCCAGGCCTCTCCTCCTACCTGCGCTCGCCTGGCTCTGCTCCAGTGGGGACAGCGGCTTCATCCCTTGCCTGGGAAATCTGCCCAGGTTTGTGCAAGTCTGGGTTTTATTCCATTTTAACTCCTGGAGCGCTGGCCCAGGTGAGCAAAGTTCTCACAGCCCTTGTGGGCTGGATCCTGTATGGAGCAGGAGAATGGCCCAACACCTTGGGAGCTGCAGCAGCACAGCATGGTGCTGCATGGCACAGCACAGCACACCCTCACTGCCACAGCCCCAGACGCAGCTGAAACCAAGCTCTGACAGGTGGGGGCAAGATGTCTTTATTCAGAAGCAAACCCATCTGCTAGCAGAGGACAGCGGGCAGAGACCTACATGGAGGTAGGAATTTGGGAACCCATTGGCATGGCATCAGGCCAACACTGGTCCCACCCAGTGCTGCTGCCAGCTGCCCACTCTGCAGCCCTGCCTCAGACACTCTGGGCAGGTTTGGGGTAGGACCAGCTGAGCACAATGTCCACAAGAGCCGAGGGCAGGTAGCTGAGGGGCAGGTAGAACAGCTTGGCATCCCAGCCTGCCGAGTAACGAGTGCGTGGAAAGCGGCTGGTCAGTGCGTGTTCCATGCAGTCTGTCACCAGCCGCAGGCTGGAATTGCATCTGCTCTGCATCTTCCTTAGAGACACCAAAACTGCAGAGGCAAGAACTTCCAGTCAGGCTGCCAGGCTCACACCCTTGAGCTGAACACAGCTGAACAGCTCAGGGGGTGATGGGGCAGTGGGACATCTCATGGCCCTGGGTATGTGCCTTGAGTCAGGAGAGAAGCAGCATTGCTTAACCTGCATGTGTAACACTTACACTCCTTCAGGTAACTCTCCCCATAACTTGCTCTGGTTTCCTCTGGGATTTTATTCCAGATGGCCAGAAAATTCTTCTCCAGGGTCTCAGCACTGGTGATGTCTGTCTTGAAGTACCCTGGCTCGATTATGCAGACCTTCACCCCAAAGTGGCGCATCTCAATCCTGGAAGGGATTGAGCCCATGGGACACAGAAGCAGCACCTGGGTGTACCCCCAGCACCAGCTCATGCACAGGATGCCCAGCAGCCTCGTGTCAGAGGTACAGGAGGAAACCATACCAGCCCCACAGGACCTGCAACAGCCTTGCATGTGTCCAAGGACTGGGTGAACAAACATCTGCAGAGACTGGGTGAGACTGGGACAAAGCAAACCTCGGGACTGTGGGGACATTGCCTGCAGGACCCGACATGGGGTCGAAGTTCAGGCAAGGAGGCCTGTGCAGGGGCAGCTGGTGCCAGCCAGCATGGCCACAGCCTCCCTGCCTCTGGGAAGCCACCAGGCAGGGAATGAAACCAAAGCTCTGCCAAGAACTTTCTGTTTGCTTGCCCTGGACTGTCTCTTGGCTGAAAGCAGAGCAGAGGCTGCCAGAGCAGGTGCAGGCCCCTGGGCACAAGGTGTCTCAACATCTGCTTCATGTGGGAAGCCTCCCCACAGCCCCACTGCTCACCCCTCAGCAGTGGCTACAACCAACTGCCAGTGCTCAGTGGAGCTGCACAAGGGAGGGATGGACAGATGAAGGCTCTGCTCAACAAAGCCCAGAAAAAAAACAAACTAGGAAATGGGGAGCAGTGTCTGCCATGCTGAACTTACCGGAGACTTTCAGAGAAGGCCTCCACCCCGTACTTGGAGATGCAGTAACCCCCGCCAAAAAAGGAGATCCGGCCCATCACGCTGGCCACATTGACCACCCGGCCCCGGGCTTGCCGCACCAGGGGCAGGAGGCTCACTGTCACCTCGATGAGACCCACCAGGTTGACATTCAGCACCTTGACGAAGTCATCCTTCGTCAGCCACTCGTTGGGGGCAGTGGGGATGGCGATCCCCGCATTGTTCCCCAGCCCCCAAAGCCCTGCAGAGAGGAGATGGGGTCACCAGGGCTGCTCCCCTGTCCACAGCCCCGGGCCAACACCGGCTGTGCCGACACCACTGGGCAGGGTGGCAGGAGGGCTGGCACGGGTGGTGATGGGGACAGCGATGAGGTCGCCCACCCGGTTCTACCTCGGTCGCCCACACGCTCCCGGACCCAGGCGGTGGCGGTGGCGATGCTGTCGCTGGAGGTG